CAGGGTCTTTTCCAAAGAGATCTCTCTTCGCATTAGGTGACCAAAGTATCTGAGCTTGAGCTTCAGTATCAACACCTCTGGTACAATATGTTTGAATATGTTGTATGTTGTTGGTTATTTGTTTGTAATTGTTTGTGCCGTCCTGAGTCATGCCTCACATGAGCATCCATATAAATTGAATAAAAAAATAAATGGGGCAAGTGAATCCTTTTTGGGGTAAACAGTCGTATAGGTAACCAGGCTTCAAGCCATGCTAAACTTTGAAAATGTTCAAAGAACCTTCAGTGGCACCTGGAAACTCACAGGCAATCGGTGTCCCCCACAATATTGGCATTATGTGGTTATTCCATTACATGTTGGCAGGCACATTCTTCACTATCTGCATTCCCAGTTGGTCTTCAAGGACAGTCCCAGGGAGAGCGCATTATAGTAGTCCAACCACAGGGTAACATGGGTATGAGTGACTATCTGTTTCCGTTAGTTGATTCTATTTCCAATCTCTTCCCCGCCAAAACGGAACTATAATTTATCATGTTTTTGTTGGTGTTGTTTCATAATCAAAGACTGTTTCATCGGAGAAATACAACTTAAGCTGGGTTTGTGCAACATTTGTCATCAGGTCCAGTCAGTTAAGGACCAGATGGACCAAGCCAAGATTAGTTAGTTTTTTAATTTAGTTTTATTTTGTTTTGTGGTTCATGTTCTGCAGATATTGGGGGTATTGTTAATTTCTGATTCGATGTGTTCAATGACTTCATAACATGAATTCATTCAGTAATCAGGCATGTAGAGCAGGTCCAGCCTTTGTGTTTTCAAGGCCATGATCTTTTTTCCCCTCTTGTTCTCTTTATTTTCTACAGGGAGATTATACCTGCACTTTTACCTACGCTGCTCAGGGTGGGACCAACGAGGTAAGTATTTTTAATCCTCAGATCCATTCTGCTTGCTGGACAGGCCTCTGAATTCTGCAAAACTGAACTCTCGTACAGCATGCCAGCATATCAGAGGGGAGATCTCAGCACTAGAACATGGATAAGTGGTGGTGGTGGTGGAGTTTAGTGAGGAAAGAAAACATCTTGACTGGGAATCATAAAAATGCAGGTTATCTAAGGGACCGCCTCTCCCCTATGACCTCAACCCGTCCCACCCGATCACACAGAGAGGGCATGCTTCGGACCCCCTCAGTGAAGGAACTTCGACTGGCGGGGTCCAGAAGGTAGCCCCGCCCTTTGGATCATCCTGCCCCCGGAGGTGCGATTGGCCCCCTCACTCCTGGCCTTCCGTAAGGCTTTGAAGACCTGATTCTGCCACCTAGCCTGGGGTGGGGTGGGAATACCTCAAGAATGGGGATGGCTAGCCGCATAGAGGCCTTCTGCCTCCAGC